CACGGCGGGAAGACGAGAGCGTGGGCGTGGCGAGCCTCCCTGGCTCGGCCACGGGCACGGCGGGAAGACGAGAGCGTGGCGAGCCTCCCTGGCTCGACCACGGGCATGGCGGGACGACGAGAGCGTGGGCGTGGCGAGCCTCCCTGGCTCGGCCACGGTCGGAGATGACGAGGGCATGGCGAGGAAAACGTGGCGTGGCGAGCCTCCCTGGCTCGCTCACGGTCGGAGGACGTGGAGAGGTGAGCGAGCCCTCCTGGCTCGCTCACAGCCATGGCCGGAGGGTGATGCGGGGCGTGAGCGAGCTCGGGGCTCGCTCACGGGCAGGAGGACGGACCGGAAAGCCGGCCTCGGCTTCCTCCTGGGCATGGTGGCCAAGCCCCCCCATGGGCTCTCTCAGAGCAGAAGGGGGGGGGCCGCCACCGTCGCCGCCGCTGCTCCTGGGTGTCTCCGCTGAGTCCTTTAATGGCGAGTGCGTTCTGTCATGTAGGGTGGTTCTTGGATGGAGGACTCAGTTGCGGAGATGAGGGAAAACAAGGTTTATTGAAACAAAAGACCAGAGTCCAGACAAAGTACAAAGCAAAGCTGTGGAAAACTGTGAGCAAAGTAACAAAGCAATAAGCAAACAAGACTGAGGCAAAGTAACAAAATAACGATTAACAAAACTGTGACTATGACTGTGGCAGAACTATGACGAAAACAAACCTGGCGTGGGGGTGACGAAGGACAGGACGGACAAGACGGACTAGAAGACGAAAACGCACTCGCGCCAGACAAGGGGAAACAGGACTATTTAAACACAAGAGGGAGGGAAACCCCAGGTGTACACAATAGGTAATCAAGACGAGACAAGACACCAGACGTGACACAAAATCTCATTCAAAATCACGCCAACACCACTTCTTGGAACTTGGACATATTTATTCTGAGAGCCCCCCTCAAAACATTTTTCAGAAACCGAAAACATTGCTGAAAATCACAAAATCATCTAAGCTAAGAGATATTATGATATTGTAACCCTGTTGACAGATGCACGTTGAAAAGGTAAAATAAATAGTTGGTTAAAAAACATAAATAGTGAAATGGGATAATAAATAGTGATAATTCTGATGAGCAGTTCATGAATGAGGGGTTGTTATTATTGAAAACATGATTATAAGTATTTGACTTAGCAGTACTTTTACTGTGACAGTTACGATGTGGTATTTTTATTTTTGACATGCGTTTATGAACAGCTTCCCGTAGAACCGTTTGTCAACTGAGCTGAGAGGAGCTAGGAAGCTAAATACCCCGTTTCCTTTGCTCCACCTCGGAGCTAGAAATTGAAATAAAAGTATTTATTAGTTGTTTGTGTTATTCAAGTTTCCTTTTGGAGTACGGAGCGACCATCTCTGTAAATGCTGAATGTTTTTTGTTGAATCGTCTCGGTCAAGTTTTTGAGCTGGATCTGGATTCCGCTGAGGATTGATGACGACATTAGATGGAGAGCCACCCATCCAGTTGAGTCTGATCCTGTTCTATGTCATTTCACGTGGCATAGCTGGTAGGATTGTGGATTATGTGCATGTGTCACACAATTTATGAAGGACGATTTATACTTTTTATTTTATTTTGAAGGGTCAAATCTTTTATTTTTGGTAATTGTAAATATTTCAAAGAAAAAGAAAACCCTTTATCTTTGTGTGGTGTCTTTTTCCACTCTCCCCAGAGCCTAGTGTCTCTTATTTTATAGCTTATTGAATCTGGCCTATCATTGACGTGTACATACTCAGTAGTGGGTTACAATATTTTATTATATACATGAGATGTGCAAAAAATTATACAGTTGTGACATTTCAGTATCATTTCGACCATTTTTCAACAAAACACTTATTGGTTTTGTACAAACACTCGAATGCACAATGTACACAACTTGAATAAACTCATTTAGAAGGAACACGTAGGGAACTATTTCAGTAGGGTGGAACAGAAAGCAAATTGATTTTAACTGAAACCAACAGATGCTACTATGTCCAGTGATACATTATGTAAGAGAGCTGTGCAAGAACATCGAGACAGTATCGCAGAAAAAAATCAGAAATAAAACAAAGAAATAGTTTATCTCCAGAGACTTTATTAGTAAAAATAGACATTTTTCAAGCCACTGACAGACTTCATACGAGAGGCTTCATATACCATTAAAGTAAGGAAGTTGTGTAGTGAGCCAGCAACCCACACATGAATAATAGCCTCTGCTACTGCCCACACTAGAACACCCTTTCATGACATTGACACAGGCCATCAGGTAATCTACGTCATAAATAAACATCCATTTCGAGTAGTTACTGTTTCAGAGAGCATTTCATTCTTCTTAAATAATTCATTAACTACCTCCAAGTGAATGCCAGCACTAGTAGTCGGTATGTTACAGTGGTAATGTGCACTCCTGTTTACCTCATTCTGAACATTAACACAGCGGCATAAAGTAGAGAAACGTCAAATACAGAAAAGATTAAAACAAATCATTTGCTCTCCGCAGATGTGAAGTGCAATTTTGAGCATTTTGAGCATTTTGTGTCCATAGCTTTGTTTTTCTAATGTCAGTCGCTTAACAACTTCCACAGAACATGGGATTTCTCACGGACGTGAGTAGGCTGACCCATCTCATTCGGTTGCTGCAACTGGACAGATAACTAAAGGAGCCTCGTTCTGTCCTGATTTGTTTGTACACGGACTGAAGAATGGATGGATTGTGTCAGGAAAGCTACCTGTGAAAGTGTAGATGAGAATTTTGGCCTCCACGTTGTAGAATGACACTAATCCTTTATCGCAGTCCACATAAATTCCAATCCGCGAGGGTCTGACGCTGACTGTCAGGTTGGTTGGGGGTTCTGTTCGGAAGGAGTACTCGGTCCGATCTCGCAGACTGAGAAACCAGTAGCCGTGGGCGGGGCTTACAGTAAATTTGCCTTTTCGATTAATAGACTTGCTTGCAACTCCCAGATCCCAATCGGTCTTTCGTCCAACTTCAACCTAGAAAATGCAGAGATTACTGCGATGGATGCACTTTCTAACAGTTCCAGTTAAGGTTACTCTATCAATTTACCAATACGTGGTTTTAAAACTTTGTCTAGTTATCCACTTGTGATGGAATTAACAATTTTTGAGCGAATTGTTTAATTTGCCATACATTTTAAAATGGCACCACACATTTCCCTGAGTTTGTTTGAAAAATCCAGTTTCTAGATCTTTTTTAAAGCTTGGGCAGAGGCAATATAAGACTTAGAAGGTCTGTGATAGTATGGAGTTGTGTTAAAGCCCGTGTCATAAAAAACCTGCACATCTGTAAAGGCACAATTAACACTGAAAAACACGTACACGACATGCGTTACCACCCAGTAACGTCTATATAAGGCACATCTCGGCAACACAATGCCAATGATAGCACATGTTCTCTCATTGAACATTTTTGCCATAAAATCAAAAACACAACAAATTGTTGTGTTAGTTAAGATGTAGGTGAAGTCAAAAAGGGAAGGAATTTAGCCTTCAAAACCTCAAAAATGATCATCCTGATGGAGACCCGATATGTTTTTTATGTCAAGGTACTCCAGTTGAAAGGCATGTGTTGTCGAGTTGTAAGGTTAGTTTGTCGCAAGTTCCCGACTATTAAGAAGCTTAGCTGCATGCATTGAAGAAAAGCGAAGGCGGGTTGATTTAGGAAGGTCCATGGCCAAGAAAAGTAGCAATCCGGTTGGTCCAAGAGAGGGAGGAAGTTAAAGAGATGAGAAGGAGGCAGGGCAGTTTAGAGGATGCTTCTGATTGTGATCTAGAAGGAAGGCTTGTACATCCCCAGGAATAGCCTCTACAAATCTAAGGCATGATATGGTCTTCTGGCCTATTTCATAGAGAGTCTGTTTCATAGAGCTTACTGTTCCCTGGGAGGACTCGGTAGAAGAAGCACGTGAAAGGAAAAAGGAAAAAGCTTAGGTGTTTTGGAATTAGGGGCCGAAGCAGAGCAGAGAGGTTAAAAGTCGGAATTTCTCCGATGGAAGTAAGACGTGGAGGATTTGTCGCAAAGTCTGCTGTCTCGTTGTTAAGGGAG